CTTATGTATATATATATATATGAATCATCACAAACTTAAAATTTAGTTAAAACACAGTCAAATAATACAATATTGACAAAATCATGTTTCAGTTTCTCTCTATTCCGCTTGTGGAGAGGAAACCCAACCTCAAGTCAACTTCTGATTTGCGGGGTAAATTTATTTATTTATTTATTTATTTTTAATAAAGACAATAATTAATAAATTAGTATTGTTAAATGTTAGTAACTGAGAATTCAATCATATGATGAATATTTCACCGACCCCAATAAGTCACGCGGCTCATTGGGTCGGTTGGTGGAGTTCAAATTTATTTATTTATTTATTTTGCGGTATTTGCGGGATAGATTTTTAACTGCGAAATTTCCTATCATCTTCTACGACCTTTGTTCAACGTGTGCATTGAAAAAACTAATACCAGGCCCACAGCCTTGATGATTTCACAATCAAGAAACAACGAGTTTGCGGTCTAGGTCTACCATTGTCATTCTCGCCTAGTGTGAATAGGAACTAGCTTTGTTGTGACTCTAGAGTCTGGTCCACGTTTTTTAATTTCGTTTTTTGCTGTTTTTCTCAATCTTTCTAACTATAAAACTTCAAGCAATGTATAGATCTCATATATTATAATTTAGACAACTCACAATAATGCTAGATCGTATCATCCATCTCTTCGATAGTACGTAAATGAAATTGTATTCTTTGATTATATCTTTTTTTTTACATTTTTTTTCTTTTTTCCTATGCCATTTCATTTTGATCTGTATTAAGAGTATATGCGGTGGGTTGACTTCTAAACAATTCGGTCTTCACTAGGGGTAATTTGCCCCGATCTCCACGGGCGGGTACAGGAGCATATTTTCTTCTCTGAAATTTCACAAGGAATATTTTGCCACACAGGGATCTTTATCCTTGCAAAAAATTTAAAAAATCTATAAATTAATTTTATTTTAGATTTAATTTAACTCATCATTACAATACATAATATATATTTTAAATTCAAAATCAACCCAATAAAATTTAGGCTTAATCAAATTTTACCTAACCTACCCATAAAAATTAACTCAATCCATTATTAAACCTAACCTTACTCATCTCATCACTTTAGCCTTCCCCTCCTCTTGCTACCGTCGGCACTCAAGAATCTCAGACTCAAAACACCCTTTCTTTCAATCTTTCTCACTTCTAGTTTCTCAAAATCTCACTTTCAGAATTCAGACTCTCTCACCTTTCACCTTGGTCTTTATCCCAACCCAGTAACCCTAAATCCTTCCATTGCAGCCTATTGATCTACTAGAGTTGCTGCTGGAGCCGGACTACATATTGCTGCTGGAGTGGACTGCTACCAAGCTACATGCTGCTGCCGAATCCATCTGGACTGCTGCTATCGAACTCAAAGCCATCTGCCGATCCGATCTGAAAAAACATTAGGTGTGAGCTCTGGTTTCATTGCTGTGAAGCTTTCATTACTGGCTACCTTTCGGGTTTTTTAAGGCTTCAATTAATTGCTCTCAGTTTGGTACTGTTTGGTTGTTCTTGGTTTTGTTAGATCACAATTCAATTCTATATATTAAGCTGCAATCTCTTGGTTTGATATATTGGGCATAAAAAATTGGGAATTTTGAATTGGGTTTGTAATGTTTATGTAAAGATGGTGAATTTCTTGATTATATGGGTGTTTTGCTTGAAAAAATGAGTGGGCTTGTGGTTTTTGTTTGCATATACAAATCAGTGATTTGATTTCCTACTAATTGTATTGTAGGATTTTTTATGAGCAAATGGGAATTTTGGAAGTTAAAGTGTTTTTGAGCTGTCCTCCCTTTCCCTTCATGCTGGAATCTAAATGTTGAATTAGTTATTTTATTTATGTTGAATTTTGAAAGCTAAGGTGTTTTGAGGTGCCCTAAGTTGATTTAGTTATTTTATTTATGTTGGATTGATTTTTGTTTATGTTTAAAACAAATATGTTAATTTAGCTATTTATGTTGGATTGATCTATATATATAATTTATATTTTGATATTAAACGATTAGAAATAAGAATCTCACGGGAAATGGGGAACGGGAATGGGAGAGAAAATTTATCCCCATCAAAAATTCCTGCAGTGATCCTTGTCCCAGTGAATGGCGGGGACAGAGACAAGGAGTGACTTCCCAACTCTGCAGGGCCCATTGTCACCCCTAGTCTCCGTAATTGTGAATTATTAATTGATCCATGGATGTAAGGCAATTAATTAGCATATATATTACTTAAATTCTTCTACAGAAATGATTTCTTTACATTTTAAAGATGTTTCTTTCTCTCTTATTATTGATTATGTGTTGATCAGGAATTTTGTATTTTCCAGAGTTTATTTATTATAATTGTGATTATGAGTTTTCGGTTTTATTTCTGAAAAATTTAGAAATCCTACATCAAAACAAACAGGTTTAATAATTTAATAAATTTTATATTTTGGATATTATAGTTCTAAAAATTTATACTTAATAAGTTCAAAATATTAATTTTTAATTATAACTTTTAATTGTTAATTTTGATGGTTGAAATTTTGACCACCAAAACTAAAATCTGAAAATTGCAATTGTAACGTGAAATATGCCAATCAATAATGTAATAAGAAGTAAATTTTGATGGTTGAAATTTTGACCACCAAAACTAAAATCTGAAAATTGCAATTGTAACGTGAAATATGCCAATCAATAATGTAATCAATATTGGAACAGATTTTATGTTTCTTGTATGTAGTAGGTAAACTGGGTTGTGTTCCTTGATTTCTCCGGACTGTACTCTGTTTTTGGGAGTATTTCTTATGCTCCTTCTTTAATATATATAGTATGTTTGCTTTGCTGATCAAAAAAAAAATAATGTAATAAGAAGTGAAGGAGTAGTATTTCAATAAAGTTATTCCTTGAATTATTTTTTATGGCATTTTACTTGGTATTCATCAAAAAGGTTTCTTGTATGATCGAGTCTTTGATCATTTATAGTATGTACCAGGAGAAAGACGTTAGAATATGATCTGATAAGATTACACTTTTTACGGTTTAATTTGACAGATTTAAAATGGCAATTAGCTGCAGCAACTCGAGTACTGTAATTGTTCCTTTTCTTCTTGAAGAAGATAAAAATAATTATGAAGATTGGAAAGTTTACATTAAAAACTATTTATTGGCCCAAGATCTTTGGGACATTGTTGATTATGGGAATAGTCAGGAGGGCAATTGGAGGAAAAAGAATGCTGCAGCTCTACATGCAATTCTTTCTAGTTGTTCGCAATCTATTTTTCGTCAAATAAAGGACAGCTCAGCCAACTCGGCCAAGGATGTGTGGAATCAATTAGCCAAAATGCCAGAGGAGCAAGAACTTAAAGAGAGGTCAAGTAGAGGTAATATCTTAATTTTATCTTAATCTTAACTATATATATAAAACTGTTGTAATAACAAAATTTGTCCTAAAATTTTCAAACAAATACTAAGTAGATTTTACAAAAATATTCAATAAATATTTAATTTTTGTAAATATTTATTAAAGTTAGATCAATTCTAACTTTTATTAAATATTACAATTCAACTTTTATAGGCTTTGATTTCCTATTAATTTTACTCATTCTTTTTTATTTTAGAATTTTTTAGATGAATCAAATTATATAAATATTAGAATATAGGGAATATTCAACTTAAATACAAATTCACTAAGACTGCATAAATAAATTACACAGCTTTGCTGCACACGCAAGTGACGAACCACAGCATAATAAGACAAACCAAAACATAAAACAAGGCATTACACAACGAAAAGTCATGCCACACCCAAGACCCAACTGAAACTCGATGCCTTGCATCAAGCAGAGATGGGCAGCAAACAAGGGATAGAATTTGACATAACATTTTTTTCGTATCTTTACGATTGTATAACAGTAAGGCTCAATTTATTTTCGATTTATATAAATGAATAAAAAAAAAAAAAGAAAAGAGGAGCGGTAGAATTTCTAGAATAATTTAAAATAACTCCATGTTAGACAAACAAAAGAGCAAGTCCTCAACATTCTAAAATTTTTGCCCTTTAAATTCTTAGATTTTAGAATTCTGTAATTTAGTTCTCAATCTTGGCAGTTTATGCATCCTTTAACTTTGTAAAACATTGTGATTTAGTTCCAAACTTATGATTTTTAAAAATTAAGTCCTATCTAACACAAATAATAAAAACAATGTAAAACTGAGAAAAATCATATTAATTAAACCCATTTAAATTTTAATAACATTAAGCTTAAATTAACATCATATTATGTACAAGAATTCAACTTATTAAGTACTTAAAGGAAAGTTGGTAAATTTTATATTAAAGTTTTGTTAAGATTTTTTTGGGCTATTAATATAAAATTTCTCATATCATAAAGAGAAAAAGAAAAAACCAAAAAAGAGAACCAAAAGGAGGATTATGATGACAATAGTTTTCTTTTTTTTAATTAACAGCAAAGGTTAAATATTTTATTCAAAATTGGGAAGTAGACAAGGTACTCTAAACCCATTACACATCCAACTATGTCCTTTTTTTAAAACAAAACAAAGTTTAAACTTTTTCCCTTCCTTGTAGACAAGCCCTACATGCATACTTACCAAAAAAAATCACAATTCAAACATAGCCCACCTACATGGTGTTCCACTAATGCATTACCAAGCCTGATATCTTCCTAGTAAGCCAGTTTTTTCTTCTCCCTTTCTTCATGCATTCCCATGGCTCTAATAACTTGTCAGAGAAGCTCACACACCATTCCCCCTTGCTTGCATTTCACTATTCAAATTATCTAAGTTATATATTCTCAAATATTCTAATCGCATCACACTATTTTCGTTGGAATATAATATTATTTAATTTTAGCTAACCAAAGGGACCGTATAGTGGAAGACTAGATAACTATATATCCATCATTCTCCCATTGCTTTATCAGAGAAAAGGATACAATGTTGCTCAAAAGATTCCCAATAGGTGCTGGGTCCAACACTACACACCCCCACCATTGTAGACTTCTTGACCAAACTTCATGAGCTATTTTATAATGCAATGCAAGATGATGTGCAATTTCAATCTCGGATGAACATAGAGTAGATTTTGTCATGTTATAATCAAAGATCACCCCTATTCTAAATAAATTGAATCATGTTGGGACTTTACTCTGCATCTATTGCCAAGCAAAAGCACACATCTTAATTGGGATTGAAGCATTCCATAATCTTTTGAAGAAATTTTTATTTGCTGCATGATGATGGAAAGATAGTAGTTGATAGGATGATTTCGTTGAATATCTCCCCTCCTTTGCTTTCTTTCATTCTCACTTTTCTTTTGGCCTTTTTTCAGTTGTACTACTAGTTTCCGCAAAAGCTCCGTAGCCATTTTTGCGTCCCATGGTTGTAAGTCACGCCTCCAATGCAATTCCCAATGCCATCTTCCATCCGCTAATGGCCCATTTTTTGTACCATATTCATTTTACCTATAGATAATGAAAACAAACTCAGGTATATGTCAGCAAAAGCTCTAACCCCTACCAACTTGTCCCTCAAAAAATCTACTAGTCCATCCTATCCTTCCATCCTCACCTATCTCCATTTCAAAATTCTCTTTTAGCCAGCCCTCTCTACCCTTTTCCCTCTTCACCACAAAGAGCCATATCTCTTTCCTTCTTGTACCCACTTAGTCCAATTCTGTCCTAAGTTCCCATATATTAGTTTAATCACCTTTCTTCATAAATTATCCTCCCCACTAACCATAATATGACTTTTCAAAAAAAAATATTTCAAGCCTCAAGATCAACTCAAAACTCCTCATAATGCACTTCACTACCTACACATTCTCTTTAGTGGCTTTGCCACATAAGAGAGTGTCATCTGTAAACTGCACATGAGAAATCTGTAACTTTTCTTTACCTACTTCCATCCATAGGAAAGAAGAAAGGGGATCCCCCTATCTAATGCCTTTAGTAACAATGAACTGTTTTGATGGGCTTCCATTTATCAACATAGAGACAATAGACAATCTTAAGCATTATTGAATCCTCATTCTCCATTTTTCACATAATCCTAGCCTCTTTATCATATACTCCAAGAATTGCCTCTGCTTCATGCATCACCTATAACTACATTTGTTATTATCACACTATCCACAAGTTGCCTTCCTTCAATGAATACCATTTGATTTTCCCCAATCACTTTATCTAGTCCTGTTCACAATAAGTTTGCCAATAATTTGGACATGATTTTGTACATAACTCCAATCAGTCATATTGGCCAGAATTCCTCCATGCGTGGATTAGCCACCTTCGATACCATCACCAAAAAGGATGCGTCAGAACCAATAACTAGTTTGCCATTCTTTTGGAACTGTCATACAAAACCTACCCCTTCCTCTTTGATAATTTCCCACATTTTCTTGATTAACTAAAATTAAATCCATCCATGCCTCACGTTTTATAGTTGTCATGAACCCAAACTGCAGCCTTAATCTCATCTCCTTAAAAAGTGGTGTTAACATCACATTCTGTTCTTGCAAGATTCAATTGAACTCAATATTGTCAATTGTTATTGTACTTCACCCCTTATCAATGAATAGCTTTTCATAGAACCTTGCCACCTCAACTTTTCCCTTGGCCACCTTTGTACACTGCTTGCGATTTATGAGAATACTATTGATTTCATTTTGCCTCCACCTATTCCTAATACATCTATGAAAGAAGGCTATATTTGCATCAACAGCTTTCAACCAGGTCTTCCTTACTTTTTGTTGATCCATTTTCTCCTTTATTCTCATATTCTTCCATAGCATCTCAACACTCTCTTTTGTAGTGACCACCTCATCTTTAGTTAATTGTTATCATTCTCCTTTTAAGTCTTGGCTCTGAATTACCTCCTTTGCCTTCCTTATTTTCTCATTAATTTCATATGCATATCCTCTGGTCCACAATTTCAATGCCTTTGTAGTTTGCTTTAATTTATCCTTGAGGCGGGAGCCCTTCCATCCCTTGACTCTCATTGAGTTCCATGCCTTTTCCACCATTTCCTTAAAATCTGGTTTGTCAATCCAATAGTCGAAAAACCAAAAAAGTTTTGGACCCCAGTCAAGATTATAAAATTTTAACGTGACTAGGCAATGATTTGAGATTGTATGTTTTAGACCCATTGCTTAACCTCACTCCAATTCAACAACTATTCCTCCGATAATAAATATCTATCCAATCAACTCATTGATTTCTCTTAGATGATACCAAGTGTACCTCCTTCCTATCAATGGTAGATCAGTCAATCCTGCGTCTTCAATAAATTCTCTAAACTCCTCAAATACCTACTACCCCAAATAGTTGCAAACCACTTTTGATGGAGTACAAGGGTTCTTCGACTTGTGAGGTGTAAAAGTAAGTGAAAAAGAACTTGTAAGGGAATTTTTCTTATGTAATCTCATGTATTAGGATTATGAGTACAAGAGTCAAGGGGTAATTCCAATTTTTCTGAGATTACATGAAAGAGTTAAGGTGAAATAGACACAAAATTGGATTAAAAGTGTAAAATAATTTTAAAAAATTCAGTTTAAGAAAGAAATGAAAAGAGATACATGCAATGAGTTAAGTCAGAATTAAAATGCATAACAGTAGTATAAGTATATGAATATAAAAAAAATTAGAGATATGAAGTTGCTTCACATATAGAAAGATGAGGGGAGACATATGATCTTAATGTGAGAAATCTAGAAAAATATAATATATGAATAGATAGGGATCGGAGGTAATTAAGGAGAAGATGATAAGAGAGAGAATGAATAACATCCAATAGTTTATTAATATAGAGAAAGAGAATAGATATAAGTGATTGAAAAAATTTCATACTTTATTAATGAAAATTTGTATTGATTTTTTAAAATTAAATTAATTAAATTTGTACGTTTAAATCTTTTCCCATATCTACCATCTAGAGTTTGTTTTCTAATGAATTAATACATTTAAATTGACTAATTATCACTAAGTATACTCTAAGATATATATATATATAAATTTATAATTAATAAAATTTATAATTAATTAAAATCTAAGAAAAAATACAGATTCGCACGGCTTGCAGTCTTGTATATACTGTTATTTGATTTATCTTCATTATTAAAGAGATATATTCCCAGTTAAAGTATTGGCTTATCATGTAATTCGATTATACTTCGATTCCTTAATTTTTTTTATAATCATATTGATACCTTAAATATTCGCATATAGGAGAAGAAGCTAACCGACGTCGCTGTGTAGAGGTGACCAAGAAAATTTACAATGGAGATTGGCCAGCTATAACGGAGTTTATATATTCTGACATGGGTCGAACATTTCCACCTATTACAGACTTTGTTGAAACTGTTCTTCAAGTTGCAGTCAAGGCCGAGCAAGATGAGATCGCCAAGAAATTGGCAAAGATAATGTCAAAAGCAGATCTGGAGAAAAAGGATTGCAATGGTCACACAGTTCTCTCCTATGTTGCATTTCAGGGAAGAACAAACTTGGCAAAATTCCTAGTCCCACTGAATCGAGATTTGCTTACCATTGTAGACAATGCAGGCAATATCCCGCTTACTAGGGCATGTGGTTTTGGCCATAAGGAGATGACATACTACCTTTACAAAGTAACCCCTTGTGAGTTACTGGGACCAGGAAAAGAAGGCAATCATGGATTCCATCTCATGCGCTGCTGTATTGCTAATAAAATGTTCGGTAAGAATAGTAAAACTTTTACGTATGACACCTTCTATCTCAAAATGATTATCATTTTTTTATTTTAATTTTAAGTTAATTTTAAATTAATTTTTAATTTTTTTATTTTTTAATGTAAATAAATATTTTTTTATTTTTATTTTATCATTATTCATTTATTTTAATTAATTATCATATTATGAAAAAACATCTCACTTTATCTTTTAGTTTTTTTTAAAAGTAATATAGATAAATATATAAATGGTTTATAAATTTTTAATTAAAAAAATTAGTTATTATGAGAAAGGAGTATTATTTTACTGTATATTAGTGTGAATTTAAGATCTAAGGGGTGAGGAGTAACTTGTTTGACTTTTCTTCTTTGAAAAACTAGATATTTGTTGGGATCTACTGAAAAAATATCCAAGTTTGGCTGTTGGCATCAATACACAGGGAGAGTCTCCTATTGTTATGTTGTCCCGTCAACCTTCTGCCTTTTACAGTGGGACCAAGCTTTCGCTTTGGCAACGATTGATTTATAGCTGTAAGTTTTTTTAAAAAAAACAAAAAAACAAAAACCCTAACAAAAGGGTTATTATTATTATTTTTTTATCGAGCTTAGTTAGTATTCTAACCACTTTAGTTAAACAAATTTTTAATTGAATTAATCAAATAAAAAAAATTAATTTAGAATATTGCGTAATTTGAAATTAATTGAAATATACCCATCCTTAGTGATGAAAAAAGATGGGGAGAGAAAGAGAGAATTTTAATTGCAGTTTTTTTAAATTC